TCTTGAGACTCAGCCCTTCAGAGAAAATGATGAGCATATCTTAAAATACAGTACTTAAAATTAATGATAGTACTCCTCCAATCTTTTATGAGGCAAAGTTTGTGTCACTTCCAACACACACACACACACACACACACACACACTCTTTCACACATGCATGCACACACACACACACTCACACACATGCTTTTAAAAGAAAGAACATGCTCCTCCTAAGGAATACTCATAATTCCATTAGAATTATTAATCAAAGTTACTTAGTGTTGGGAAACTATATGATTTTTTTAAGTAAAGTAATATGATCTGTGTTTCTGTCTGAATTCCATGAAGACAGACAAAAAGGGCGAAAGTGTTTTAGCTTTCTACATCAAGCAATGTATTTAATTTGCTAAGGAGTCTAAAAACTAAGAAAAAAATCTGAAAATTTAAATAGTAAGATATTTCTTTGCATTACTATAGTGATGCAGTTGTGTACAATGAATCAAAATTCATTCTGCTGTCATCTATACCTAATTAAAATAAATTCATTAATAAATAATAATAATAATAATAATAATAATTAAAAGATATTGTTTGTGAACTATTTGTATTTTATTCCACTAAAGAAGGAGACCTTCTGAAATAAATTGAAGAATTGAATGGCTCCAATAACCTAGTTTTTTTTTTTCTGTTTTGTAGTAGGTTTTTGACTGAATTTATAAAGATGTCTATCAAGGCACGATTTCCACATTTAGCCTTTTAATTGGTGAAAAACATTCTGGCCAAATTTGTATGCACCCATTTTTGTGAACTAAAAGGATTTGGAGTAAAAATTTGTTATATTTCAACTTTTTAATGAAATTCATGTCCTAATTTATATTATTTATTCTCACCGGGGTGTTTTATGCTCTTATGTAAATGAAGTAATATCAGTATTTAATTGTTATATGAGATCAGTGGTCCTTGCTTTATCTCTGTGAGTGAGGTCTTTCTGAAGCATGTTGTTTGACTTTCTTCTTAACCATTTTATTCTGTGGTGTTCAATCTTCATGTTACTTTTCCTCTCTCAGTGACCTTTAACACCTTATATTTCAGCTTAAAAGAAATTAACATTAAGAAAGTTGCATTATTTTAAGAATGAGACAGCTTTAGATTTACTTTCTCTTATCTAAGGCATATGTAATTTTTCTTATTGATAAATTGATATTCTTAAACTTACTAATGAACAGAAAAAAGCTTAGATAAAAATGACATGACAAAAAAGTATGGCATTCATTTTTTCAAATCAAAGAAAATGAATGCAACATAAAGTGCTTTAACCATATGGTGACAAGACAGTAAAAGCAGAGCATTTAGAAACTGGCCGTTTTCAGTAAATTATAGATTATTTGTCTTCCTGTTCAAGCTCATGTATGGTAGCCTTCTACTGAAAACCTCATGTGACTGATCAGGTCCATGAGAGCTACATCAGCATTTTAATGAATGCATAATATTCACAGTAGAAGAAAGCCTACATTACCTGTTCCCATCTTTTTTAGCTTGTGATCTTGGTGTTAGTATAAAGTATACCTTTTTATTTTTGGAGATAAATTTAGCCAGTAACAGAAAGTGGCAGTGCGACATTTACCTCCATTTAGATTTTAGTGTAGACATTTTATTTGCCTAAAATTGAAGCATTTGTCTTTATGGAAAAAATGAAGTGCTTTATTAAAACTAATCAGTATAATCCTATGAAATAAAGTTACTAAACATCGATGTTAAGATGAGGGAATTAGACACAAATGCTCTGGAGGGCAGAAGCCTTACGAACAATGTGGTCCTTCACACTAAGCACAGCAGTTACTCCTAGTTTGTCCTACTTGGTTTCTTTTTTCTTTTTTCTTTATGACTTCAGAAAGAAGCCCTGAACTATTTTATTTCCTTATTTTGTATGTTACGACAAACTTGGGGGTTGTATTTAGTTTAGCTATGTGGTTTCTTGTGATGTAACTCTTCATCCTTCACCTCCTTCACAACTGGAAAAGTGACCCCCACTGCCTAGGATCTCCCCTGCTCAACTTCTTGAAGTCTGAGCAGGGCCAAAAGGTAATTCAGGGTTTACTCTTCAGCTTTACAACAGTCCTAGTTTCTTTTTCTTCTGTTGACATATGAGGAAAAGGAATCTACAATGTGTAGGTGATATATTTATTATCTATATATATCTGAACGTATGTCAGGGTGTTTTGGTTTTGATTTTTTTTTTTGTTAGAAGAGAATAATTTTTAAGTTTTCCATTTTAGAAAAGAAACAGCCTGGTTGGGTGGGGACACACCTGTAATTCCAGTGGTTCTGGAGGCTGCTGTGGGAAGATCACAAGTTCAAAGCCAGCCTCATCAACTCCTCAAGACCCTAAGTAGCTTAGCAAGATCCTGTCTCAAAATAAACAATTAAAAAGCATGATGGGGGCGGGGTCGCTATGAATGTGGCTCAGTGGTTGAGCACCCCTGGGTTCAATCCCAGATATATATAAAAAAGAAATAGCCAAGAGTTCTATAATATATTTCTAATCAAAAGATGCAGCCAGATTGGGGATACATGCCTATAATCCCAGTTATTCTGGAGACTGAGGCAGTTTAAGGCCAGCCTATGCAACTTAATGAAACCCTGTCTCAAAAACAAAAACAAAAACAATAAAGTAAAATAAAAGGACTGGGTATGTAGCTAATAGTAGAGCCCTACTGGATTCAATCCCCAGGACCAACCACCAAAAAAAAAAAAAAAATGAAAATTGAAAAGAAAAAAGAAAGAAATAGCATATTTATTTCCAACTCATTTTTTATTATTGTTGAAATAATAATAATTAGAAAATTAGAAATGCACATATCTAGTGCTTATATATCATTTCATCTAACAATAACTGAAGAAGTTAATAAATCACTTGGAGATAATTGATTTGTTTAATATTCCAAATCCTACTAAAGATGGTTCAAGAATTAGAACTCAAGACTAGCTGTATAAGATTGGGTCCAGTCAAGAGGCAAAAAATATGTAGTAATTTGAGCAAGAACAGTTTTTAACTATGACAGGGATTGAGGTAACTGTTATTATCTACTAAGGCATAAAAAAACTCTACAGAATTGAGAAAGGCAGGTATAGGTAGTAGCCACTCCAATTCTGTCTGAGGCAGAATACCTATGGAAAGAAGAAATTTTAAAGAAGGCCACTGGCTCCCACAATGAACTTATGTCAGGGTGTTTTCGTTTTGGAGGAGGTGTAGCTGTGGCTCAGTAAATGGTGGAGAATCTTCTGAGGGGACATGCTAGTTGGTTTCATGAAAAGTCCCTTTCTAGGGTTCTTGAGAAAACTGTCCCTAGGGAGATATCACACTATGGTGCTCACGGGAAACCCATTTATAGAAAGGTCCTGCACGTGGACCTCTCTAGGAAGCTCCCAGTGGTGGGAGAGGAAAGCTGTGTCCTGGAGGGTGCCAGGGAAGCTGCCATTCCTGGCTGGCCACTGTGTACCACAGGAACCTGCCAAAAGAAGCATCCAGAACCAAGAAGATCCCCTTCATTCTCTAGTTCACTTGACTGCCATTTGTGGTTGACACCTAAAATAATGCCACAGGCAGGTAAAAATGTCCTAGTCTCTCAGGTAAGGGAAGGTTGGATTTGGAGCTGTAAGATAATAGATTGATAGCTGACTCCATGCCAGTATCAGAAAATTGAAATCTATTTTCTTTTTCTTTTTTTTTTTTTTTTTTTTTTGGTATGAGGGGAAAGGGTGCCAGGGATTGAACTCAGGGGCACTCACCCACTGAGCCACATCCCCAGCCCTATTTTGTATTTTATTTAGAGACAGGGTCTCACTGAGTTGCTTAGCACTTCGCTTTTGCTGAGGCTGGCTTTGAACTTGAGATCCTCCCAAACCCCTGGGATTATAGGCATGTGCCACAGAACGAGGCTAGCAGAAATCTACTTTCTTAATCATTATACCATACTGTCTGTTACTTTACCAGAACATGTGACTTTTAACAAAATAAAGGCAAATAAGAGGAAAGGAAGGAAGGAAAACATAGCAAGATTTTAAATGGAGGTTTGCATTATCAGCCTATCTGTTGTCTTTGAAATCTTTCTTAGGTAGAGGCACTTTAATTGCTCAGAAGACTGACCCATTGAATTTTAAGGCACTGACTTAGCAACCAAAAATGGAAATTGCGAACTGGAGGTCCAAAGGCCATAGCCAAATTTTATTTTTCACTCTACAATTTAAATTGATTTTTAATTCCAGTTTTCACATCTAGTTAATGGAGGTCATGTTCAATTGACAAAGATTTGTTGGCAAATATCCTTAAATATCCATATCCTACCTGATGCATTTACAGAAAGATCTAAGCAAGTTAACTTCTCTGGGTCTCAGTTTCTTCACGTAACAGAAACAACAATAACAGTACCTACTTTATTGGTACATTATGATAATTAAAAGTGTTAATATTTTTATGCACTTAAAGAAGTAATCTTTGTATCTAATAAGTGCTATATAAATGTTTGTCAGATTAAAAAAATCAATTACAGCATATACATTTTTATATTTTCTTAAAATCCATAGACTAAAATTATTAATTCTTTAAGTATTTCCAGTTTATGAAACTTTATGTTTAGTTATAACAATTTTGTCAGATTAATCTGATTCCATTGTTTCATAGCAATTAAAAATATATCATTATGTTATAGAATGTACAATGTGAATGCTGTTCATTGGTTATTTTAATTTTTTTCTATAGTTTTAGCAAAGTGGTAGCACTTGAAGATGATATTAGTAAAGCCTTTACTCTTTAATTTTTTCAAGGAATTATATGAACAGTAAGATTTTTGGCAAAGAAACTTTGATGACAGAAAATCTGTAGTTTCAATGTAACACTTAGTTTTCAAATCAGTAGCTTCTAATTTGCATGCCCCAAACTAAACATGTTAGATATACTGTAAATGTCTAAAACTTAAAAATTTCTGCTTTTATATTCTTTTTTTCCTTTTTTTTCACAGATAAGTCACTAACACATCCTGAAGTGATCAAAAGGACCCAGGCAATTGAACTGTTATTTATGCTCTATCCTCCGAAAGGTGCCCATGTGGGCAACAAAGGCAGACTAAAGTCAACCTGGCTGAGACCCATAGTAAATGGAGAAGAAGGCTATAAATATATAGGTAAGATCTGCACTTGTTGTTTGTATAATGAGGAAATGATGCTTCGTGTTTGCTTACCTCTTGTTTATCACTTGGATGAGATTGGGTGTTACATAGTAGATTCCCTTTACTTCGTAGGTATTATGTTTGCAATTTTAAAACTATCTATTTTGTATTTTGGTGCCTTTGCAGAATTTTGGAAGCACAGTATATATACCCATTCACCTGTTGATGGACAGGGATTTTTTACTTTTGGATTACTAGAGGTAAAGCTGCTATGAACCTTCAGGTTCAGAATTTTGTGTAGACGTGCTTATGTTTCTCTTAGCTACCTTGTTTTCCAAATTAATCATACCATTTCATGTTCCCCCATGTGCAGAGAGGAGTTACTTCTTTTCCACAGCTATATTAAGCCTAACATAATCAGTCTTTCTAATTTTAGCCGATATAATAGATACATGTGTTTGGTATCCCATTGTGGTTTTAATTTGAATATCTCTAGTAAATAATAGAGTTGGCATCTTTTGAAGTATTTGTTACTTATGTGTCTTCTTTGGTGAAGGGTCTGTTCATAGCTTTTGGCTATTTTATAATATTTAGGATTGTTATTAAATTTAGAGGGTCCTTTAGATATTCTGGGTACAAATCCTTCAGTACATATGTGCTTTGCAAATATGGTTTATCTTTTCTTTCTTTCAATAGTATTTTTTGAAGAGAAGTTTTAAATTTTGATGAAGTCCAATTTATCCTGTATTTCTTTATGGTTTATATTTTTATCTTAAAAAATTTTGGCCAGACTTGGGGTCACAAAGGTATTCTTCTAGAAATTTTGTAATTTTAAATTTTATATTTCAGTGTACAATTGGTTTTGAGTACATTTTTGTACATGATTCAAATCATAGATTGAGAATTTGTTTCTATATAATTATTTTTTTTCTGTTCCCCTTTCCTTTATTGTTTTTTTTTTAATTTTTAAAATTTTTTTTTATTATTAGTTGTTCAAAACATTACAAACCTCTTGACATATCATATTTCATACATTTGATTCAAGCAGATTATGAACTCCCATTTTTACCCCGTATACATATTGCAGATTCACATTGGGTCCACATCCACTTTTTTACATATTGCCATACTAGTGTCTGTTGCATTCTGCTGCCCTTCCTATCCTCTACTATCCCCCCTCCCCTCCCCTCCCCTCTCCTCCCATCTTCTCTTTCTACCCCATCTACTGTAATTCATTTCTCTCTCTTGTTTTTTCCCCTTTCCCCTCACTTCCTCTTATATGTAATTTTGTATAACAATGAGGGTCTCCTTCCTTTACCATGCAATTTACCTTCTCTCTCTCTTTCCCTCCCCCCTCTCGACCCTGTTTAATGGTGATCTTCTTCTCATGCTCTTTCTCCCTATTCTGTTCTTAGTTACTCTCCTTATATCAAAGATGACATTTGGCATTTGTTTTTTAGGGATTGGCTAGCTACACTTAGCATAATCTGCTCTAGTGCCATCCATTTCCCTGCAAATTTCATGATTTTGTCATTTTTTAGTGCAGAGTAATACTCCATTGTGTAAAATGCCACATTTTTTTTTATCCATTCATCTATTGAAGGGCATCTAGGTTGGTTCCACAGTCTAGCTATTGTGAATTGTGCTGCTATGAACATCGATGTAGCAGTATCCCTATAGTACGCTCTTTTAAGGTCTTCAGGGAATAGTACGAGAAGGGCAATAGCTGGGTCAAATGGTGGTTCCATTCCCAGCTTTCCCAGGAATCTCCATACTGCTTTCCAAATTGGCCGCACCAATTTGCAGTCCCACCAGCAATGTACAAGTGTACCCTTTTCCCCACATCCTCACCAGCACTTGTTGTTGTTTGACTTCATAATGGCTGCCAATCTTACTGGAGTGAGATGGTATCTTAGGGTGGTTTTGATTTGCATTTCTCTGACTGCTAGAGATGGTGAGCATTTTTCCATGTACTTGTTGATTGATTGTATGTCCTCCTCTGAGAAGTGTCTGTTCAGGTCCTTGGCCCATTTGTTGATTGGGTTATTTGTTATCTTATTGTCTAATATTTTGAGTTCTTTGTATACTCTGGATATTAGGGCTCTATCTGAAGTGTGAGGAGTAAAAATTTGTTCCCATGATGTAGGCTCCCTATTTACCTCTCTTATTGTTTCTCTTGCTGAGAAAAAACTTTTTAGTTTAAGTAAGTCCCATTTGTTGATTCTTGTTATTAACTCTTGTGCTATGGGTGTCCTATTGAGGAATTTTATCCAAAATTTCCAGTAGTATTTATCGAAAAGACTTTCCCCCTTTGAATTCACTGAACGTTGTAAAAACTAAATAGAACAAGAAGGTATGTGGTTGGCTAATAACTACATGAAAAGGTAATTAACATCATTAGTTACTAAGGAAATACACATCAAAATCATAGTGAGATACCATTACTTATCTATTAGGAAGGTTAAAATTAAAAAAAAAAAAAACAAAAAACTTTACATCTAACAATACCAGGATTGGAAGGATATGGAGATTGTGTTGCTAGTGGGAATTCAAGATAGTACAACTTCCTTGGAAATATTTTGGTACTTTTTAAATAAAATTAAAGAAATTTTAACCATAAAACTTAGCCATCCTACTCCTAAGTAATTACTTAAGATTAATGAATCATTTTTGTACACAAAAACCTACACATGAATGTACATAACTGAGTTATTAACTACCAAATGCTGGAAATAACACAAATGTTCTTCAGCGGGTGAATGGATAGACAAGATTTGTTCATCCATGCAAATGGAATGCAATAAGCAGTAAATTAGCTCTAAATAAAAGGGAGGTCAACTTCACTTAGCATTATTCTCTCCAGTGCCATCCATTTACCTGAAAATGCCATGATTTTATTCTATTTTATTGCTGAGTAAAATTCCACTGTGTATAAGTGCCACATTTTTTTTTTATCCATTCATCCACTGAAGGCCATCTAGGTTGACTCCACAGTTTAGCTATTGTGAATTGTGCTGCTATAAACATTGATGTGGCTGTGTCCCTGTAGTATGGTGTTTTTAAGTCTTTTGGGTATAGACCAAGAAGAGGGATAGCTGGGTCAAATGGTGGTTCCATTCCCAGCTTTCCAAGGAATCTCCATACTGCTTTCCATATCGGCTGCACCAATTTGCAGTCCCACCAGCAATGTATGAGTATACATTTTCCCTACATCCTCGCCCACACTTATTATTGTTTGTCTTAATAATAGCTGCCATTCTGACTGGAGTGAGATGATATCTTAGAGTAGATTTGATTTGCATTTCTGTAATTGCTAGAGATGGTGAACATTTTTTCATATATTTGTTGATTGATTCTAAGTCCTCTTCTGAGAAATGTCTGTTCAGGTCCTTGGCCCATTTGTTGATTGGGTTATTTGTTTTTTTGATGCTTAGCTTTCTGAATTCTTTATATACCCTAGAGATTAGTGTTCTAAAGGCCGAATGTTTTCTCTGATATAAGGAGGCTGACTCATAGTGGGGTAGGGAGGGAGAGCATGGGAGGAATAGACAAACTCTAGATAGGGCAGAGGGGTGGGAGGGAAATAGAGGGGGCAGGGGATTAGCAAGGATGGTGGAATGTGATGGACATCATTATGCAAAGTACATGTACGAAGACACAGATTGTTGTCAACATACTTTAGATACAATCAGAGATATGAAAAATTGTGCTGTATATGTGTAATAAGAATTATAATGCATTCTGCTGTTATTTATTTTTTAAAAAAATCAATAAAAAAGAATGGACAAAAAAAATAAATAAAAGGGAGGGAAGGATTGACAAACACAGCAACATGAATGAATCTCAAATGCACCATGATAAGTGACAGTGAAAGAAGCTGGATTCTGAGGCCATGCCCTGTACGATTACATTTAAGTGATAGTTTGGAAAAAACAAAACTGTAGGAGCAAACATCAGGCCTGTAGTGCCCAGAATTTAGGGCTGGTGGTTGGGGGTCTGCTACAAAGAGGGGATTCTAAGACTTGGAGGAGCTGTTCTGTATCTTGATCACACTAGTGGTTGTACAAAGTCAAAACCCATAGAACTGTACACCAAAAGTAGTAAATTTTATTGCCCATAAAAATTTTAAAAATTAAACCCAAAATAAAAATAAAATTTCAACCATTGGCCAGCATCTCCATAAAAGATGTATACATCATTTGTAATTAGGGAAATATAAATTAAACCACAATGAGATATCACCACACGACCTACCCAGAGGGCTCAAATTTAAAATACTGGCCATATTAAGTATTGGCAAACATGTGTAGCTACCAGAACCCTAATATTCTCTCACTGAAAAATGTAAAATAGTACAAACTTTGACACAATATTTTGGCACTTTCTTAAAAAATTTAACATACACCTGTCACACAACCTGATCACTACACACCTATTTATCTATCAAAAACTTTATTTTTTATTTATTCAAAAACTTGTGAGTAATCCTAGAATCCATTATTGTAAAAGAATCAAACTAGAAACAACTAAAATGACAGAAGAATTGATAAGCATGTTGTAATATTTCCATGTAGAACACTAAGACATAAAAAGAAAAAATCTTGATACTATTGACACAGACAGTATCTATGAATTCTAACATAATTGTGCTAAGTAAAAGAAGCCAGATGAAAGAGAGCACATACTGTATGATTTGTTTCTATAAAATTGTAGAAAATGCATACTAACTCATAGTGATAGAAGGCTTGTGGTTGTATGGTGATGGGGGTTGGGAATGGGAGTAAGGGACAATTAGGGTGATGGAAATGTTTGTCAGTTTGATTGTGGTAATGGTTTCATGGATGCACACATGCCAAAATTTATCACATGATACACTTTAAATATATGTAGTTTGTTGTTTCTCATTTATACCTCAATAAAGCTATACAATAGTGAAGCTTTTATTTTGGTCATATTTTTGAAAGAGATTTTTCTCTTTCAGTTTTAAAACTTGCATGCTAGACATGATTTAAAGA